ATCTCTGTAAATGTTTATGAAAATTAATAAAATATAATTATAGGGGAAAAAAAACAAAACAAAGGCATGTGGTTCAAATCCACCAGCTACTCAATGAAAGAAAGATGGGCAATCAACTCCCATGGGATTTATTGTCCCTAAAAATCCACTGGAGGTCTACCATGAGCAGGTTCTGATTTGATGGCACATAACAACAACAACAACATGGCCACCCTTCATCTCTATACCTCTTAGGATCATGTTCAAGGCAATGGAGCAAACAAGTGACCATATACACCAGGTGAGCCAACGTCTGTCTAATTTCAAACCCCTTCCTTTTTCTACTCTATCACACTACCTTCTTTTCTGTAAATTCCCCCAAACTATCTAAAACTATGTAACACGAGTCACTGACAATATAATAAATTACCACAAATGAAAAATTAAACCTCTAAGAATCTAAACTACTACCACCTAGAATGTAAATTCCTTATATCCTTAAACAGCTCTCTAGAGTAAACACCTCCTTAAGCATATTTTAATACACACATTCACAAGATGTGTGAAATGACAAGATACTTTCTTAAAGAAGAATATGAAAAAATGATCTTTCAGGTGAAGCTGGTTTCTAACAATAAAGTATTTTTGTATTATGCTAAATAAAATTCTTTTTAAACACTGTCAGTAAGTCAGAACCGAATCACAGCTGACCTTCCAATAGATTTTCAGAGGTTATATGTTACATGAGAGGAGAATGCCCACTTTTCTCCCAAGAAGCCAATGATAGATTTGAATCGCCAAAGAAATATGGCCTTTGGATTACCATTGCAAATCTCTATGGACTTTCCTAAACTAAATATAGTGCAGTAACATTCAGATCTCAATCTTACGTGGAAGCTCATACTTGACCAGAGGGTTCATTCTACCAATCTGATAGGTATAGCAATCTCATAGGGAGCACCGGGCTAAGTAAGGATGACACAGACAAGCCAGGCACTCCTGTAAAAGGAAGCCTACAGTCTAGTTAAAAAATTCAGATGGGGCGAGCTCTGGTGGCCTAGTGGCAAGAAGCTGCACTGCAATTCCAGAGGTGCGCAGTTCAAATCCACCAGATGCTCTGCTGAAGAAGGAGGAACAATCCCCTCCTGCACCAATCAGATCCGATTTCACGGTACACACATAAAAAATAATAATTAAATAAAAAAATTAAAAAAATTTCAGGTGAATGTGTGGAAGGATAAAGGGCAGCAAGTGAACACCCTCTAAAAAGGCAAGTTACAAAAAAGCAGAGAAACTAAAGGGAGAACAAAAAGAAGACTGTCCAAGAAAAGGTAGTGGCACTTTAAGGTCCATCGAAAAGAGAGGATGAGACTTAGAATTGGAGACAGATGGCAGGAAATAAATGGGGATGGTGGAGAAAGAATTAAAAAAAAACCCTATACAGATGTTCTCCCACAGAGGCAAACTGACGCTGTTTGTTGCTATGGGCCACTTAGTCAACTACCACTCACAGTAATAGTAAGCTTATGTTCAACGGATCGAAATCTTATTCTCTCCTGCACTATATGTGCACAAAGATATTCTTAAGAAAAAACTCAAATCCCTACCATCAGGTAGGCACCAACTCACAGGTCACCCTCCAGCAGGTTTTCGGAGGCTATAAATCACACAGGAGGAGACTATCCATCTTTCTCCCAAGGAGCACCTGGCGGATTCAAACCAGTTGCCAGCATAACTTCTTATCCACTAGGCTACCAGAACTCCTAGTATTTAAGTTAAAAAATGAATGAAGCAGTGCTATACATACTGATACACACTGTACATTTGCAAAGTGAATAAAAGCAAGTTAGTGTATATAGTATGCCTTGATTTGTGTATTAAAAAGAACAAAGCTTATACATTATATGCTTATATATTCATAAATTACCCACGGAATGACATAGAGGAGAAAGATATAAACAGTGGATGCCTCAAGAGAAAGGACAGTTATATAAGAACAAACGTGGGTTGAAAGCAAGGGTCTATGCTCTGCACAGACAGGGGGACGAAGGACCAGGTTAAAAGGTTCAGATGGTGTGCAGACTCTTGAGCACAGTTTCTCCATAGCAGCATTAGTGACAATGTGACATTAAATAACTCTTTATTGGGGGTTAAGGGTAAAAGGCCACTATTGATGTCTTATGCAATGTAGGAAGGCTAGCAGTATCCCAATACTCAATAAAGGCCCATGGGCAGCCTTTCCCCACAAACATTTTCCCACCAAAAAACATCTCTAGACATTTTCAAATAACCTCTGGAAGGCAAAATCACTGCTGGTTGAGAAACACTGCTCATGAGCCACAATGTGAAGTTAGATTACAGATATTCAAGCATAACATATTGTATATAAACAGCAGATACAAATGCATTCAGATATGCGGTCTGAGGGATATATCAGCTGTTTATCTGCCATAGCTTTTTAAGTTGTGGCAATTTAGGTTTCAACCTAAATCTGAATAGATTTTTTATTAACCACATCTACTCTTTTCTGTTCATTTTCTACATTTGTTGAATACAAATGATACAAAAAGTTAAACTAGACCTTTTCAGCAGTACACAAAGAGAGCAGGCAAGACCCCCTAGTGTGCTTCCCAATGATGTACTGACCCTTTGGGCTGTAATAGCATAATTTCATGAGTTAGTAGAACACATTTTCCCAAACTGCATGTATTCTCACTCCATGGCCTCCATGGAAGGAAACCCTCCCACAAAATAATACAACAGAAAGATCATATTGTAGCTCAGCTTTTGGAAAAATAATAAAATCACTGACCCAAACAGAACAGAATTACTTGCACTATGCTACTATTTTGTCTCATGACTCCTAATATCTTACAAAGTGCAAGACACTGTTCAAAAATCATAAAAGACATTGCCCCTGATTTCAAGCAGATTATAAAAAGAAGGATTAGTTAGAAAGCCAAGAGAGGTCTTAACTAGATTTTTACAAATCACAATTTTATTACGCTTAAAGCCATTTCTAATGTACCACAATGACACAAAAACAAAACCAAACCAAGATATCCAATAGGCTTGAGTATTTTTTCAAATAAGGATCTAAGACTTTTGTTGATTCTCCTTTGTCTTTTTCTTTTCCCCAAGCCAGAAATCCATTAATATACCCTGGCAATCTTGGCTTCAGATTTGAAGTCACTGATTCCTTCAATACAGTTGCAATTGAAAAGTTCTGGATTTCACACTCATGAAATCATATTCTTCAAATGCTAGTATTGTGCCATCTATGTTTGCTTAGCTCTCAGAAGGTTGGCTCTCGTGTGGAGGTGACCTCGAGTCACCTCTCTCTCCAACAAATACACCTGTGCAAGTCGCTATGGAAGGTGCTTTAAAGAGTCCGCCGCGAAAAAAAGAAACTCACCATTCTAACTACTTCAGGGTAAGTCTGCTCTGTCAAACAGCCTCTGCTTATTGTAATGTAGTCCACCAGTTCATTAAGAGTGGAGCGCTTGTATTCTTTCATTTTAAGATCAGATAGCGTGTCCATGAAGTCAAAAATGACACAGCACTGCTGAAGTTTCTTTAGGAACAGTTCAGGCTGCTCTGAGGATGGAACGTCTAAGAAAAAAAAAGGAAATGGTGTAAGTCTGTCATCAATGTCTAGGAAACAGGAATTCTCTGTGAAAGTTATTTTAAAACAAGCTCAAAGAAAAAAAAGAATTCACATAACAGTGTTCTTTTTAACAGTTAGTTATCCATGGGGAAAGGGGGATACCATATCCACTACTTTTGAGACTCTTGTCTTTGAAAACTGTATTTGTACCAACACAATTGACAGCATTTGCTGTTTCACTTCCAAAGATAAACCTAAATCCCCAAAAGCCAATAGAGAGAAGCAAATTTCAACCAAAAACACCCCAATGTCAACACCCTTTAAGTCCAAAAACATTGAAAAAGGTAAAACTTTCCCTCCTATGGTAAAACCAGAAGTTTTCACTTTAGGTTAAATTAATTTAATAAAAATTTTGAGACAGAGTATCTTGGTCAACACATTTTCATTTCACTCTGACATCCTTGATAGTTACAACTGTGTGTATTTATGTTTTCAGTTATGCTTTTGTTTTGTTTTGGCTTCATCTCAATGAAGTTTCACTGTCAAAGATGCTTGAAAAAATATCAAAATTAGGTAATACCCGCTCTCTCAAAAAGTGCACTTCGGTAACGGGAAAACAAAAGCAAACTCCTCTTAGATCTACACTCTTTTGACCCATCTTCTTTCCTTAGAATAAGAGAAAACCGCTGACATCTTTATTAATATGTTCACAGAAGAGACATCTGTTCTTTTCCTACAACAGCATGTCAGACATTTGGCTTGGTGTTATTTCTTTGACAAAATAAAAAACTGTAGAATTTTCAGGTTAGTTCAAATTCTCCAGCCAGAAAGGAATCTTAACTCAACTTGGACTTGAAATACAGCAACTAAGTTACAGACAACTCACTTCTATTTTCTTTCCCCTGCTTTATGCCCGCCTCCCATTCCAAAACAGCAGCTTCCAAAGAGAGGCAGTAAAAATTACGAACAGGGTAGGTACTAATGTTTTCATCCAACATAATGAATTAACTCATTAATCCTCAAAACAGCCTTAGAGTCAAGCAGGTGACATTATTATTCTCTACTTTTCAGGAGGAAAATGAAAAGCAATGATTGAAGCCCCACAATGAATGAGTTACGGAGCTGGGCATAGTGCCTAGGTCTCTAACCACACCTCCCACATACCCATACACTGCAAAAGAAGGACTCACTAGCGTCTAGAAAATGCTGTACCTCGTGGCCTAATAGTACAGGACACTTGTTCACTGGAAGTGAGTGTACCAGCTAATAGTATCTACCTTCCTATCACCAGTAAACCCAACTGAGAGGACTGAAAAACCATGCTGGCATTCACAAAATTGGAATGTTTCCTCTCCACAACCCTTGCCCCTCCTCATAACCCACAGCCCAAATGCCAATCCAAGTACTGCCAGGATTTCACGGGTAATTTCCCCAAAACACTGCCTCCTGAAATCCACTTCAGGATACTCCCTGAAATGGTAAGGATTTTCACTGGAAAACGCAGTATTTTTCTACAAGGTGTAATCAGGGTTTTAGAAGAGTTCGATATTTAGAAACTATTTCTAGACAAGTGACTCTCCCCTCACTCAACCAATCCTACTGATGTCCAAAGGCCTAGTGCATTTATCTTACCATAGAAGACCTTGAAACTGCTTTACATTAAATGCATGAAATATTATTCTATACCCTTAGGCTTAATCTAAAAACATAGCATTACACTTAAGAACTAAATTTAGTCAAAGTGAGTTTTCTTTTAACCACTATCTACTTAAGGTATTTAAAAAAAAAAAAAGGAGAGAGAGAGAGAACTGGAAAAGGATACATACTTATGAGCATAACTGCATACCAATATCTAATTACATGTGCAAGATCATCATTGAAATCTGAGTTCTACCTCAGGCCCCATACCCTGAAGTACAGCAAGAGTGGTGCAAAGGGAATAAGAAAAAAAAAATATATTAACATAAAATGCGAAGAAAAAAAATGTATATAGTTACTTTAATACAGACTAAAAACCAGACCACCTACAAGAACTCCTTGGTTCCTCACATATGAACTATGAAGCCATCTATAAATGACAGTCTTTCCAGTGAAGAGCAAACCACCATTAAAGGAGTGACAACTATGATGAATTCTTGTGGTCACTGTAATAACAATCAAGAGGATATTTGGATATTTTGGAAATTCAGGCAGTTAACATTTAACCCTTTTCTTTTTCACATTAAGCAGCTGAAATGTGTTCTTTCTTTCTCCAAGCGAACATATTATCGTAACAAATGTTGGGACAAGTTACCCACCTGCCCAATGGGATAAAGACAACTGATTGCTTACTGGACACAACTGAGTCCCTGGGTGGTAAAGATTAGAGGTACTAATTGAGTGAGTAGATCCCTGGAAGAAAGACCCTGGCGAGCTAAGTCCTGTAAAACAAAAACTCCAGTAAATGGAAATCCTACAGAGTCTGGTTTTACTGTGATATTATAATAGGATCACCATGAGCAGGAACTGACTCAATACCGACTGGTTTTACTGAATGTACTGGAGAGTTGTCTAACCACATTACACATAAATCTCTTAATCCTGCCAACAAGTCTAGATATACAGTAGCTACTATTTCTCATGTTACAGATGCGAAAAAGAAGACACACAGAGATTCAGTGACTTGTCTGGAGTCATGCTGCTAATAAGCACTAGAGACTGGATACAGACCCAGGCAAACTGGCTCCGGAATCTGAACACCTTACTGCCAGGATACACTCAATCTCCATGAAAGATGGATTCTAGAAAACAGGGTGTGTGCAAAAAATGGCCTCCCTTACTTCCAAAGAACTCGTAGTTAAGAATGACCAAAAGCACAAAAGAAGAAACAGGTTTTCTCAATGAACCAATCTTCTAAAGTAATTTACAAAGAAATTACCTAGCAATGGCCAAGTAAAGAACCCATCCTTTATCCTTTGGCCAAGTTCTGCTCAGTACTCATTTGCTCCCAATACCCCGCCAGGCTGCTCCTATCTCTATGCAGGCTGCCCAATTATCCCTGTTCTTTCCTAGTCCTGGCTGGATGTAAACAGGTAGAAGGAGCCAGGTTCAAGATAAAACATTCTCTAATATCCCCACAATACAGGTTTAGTGCTCATGGAACCAGTTCTAAAAGCAGATACAAATATAATTTAAAAAGAAACATTTATGAAAAGATCAAACACTAAGCCATAAAGAAAATCTCATAAATAACAAAAAGAAACCATACAGTCAGTGCACTCTGACCACAATGTAACAACACAACATTTTTAACAACTCAAAGCTACCTACCACCAAATCCAAAGCACATGGTAATTTAAATATTTCTGAAGTCATTTAAAATAGACCAAAGAATAAAACAAACAGTGACATTTAAAAGTAAATATAAATAAGGAAAATGAAAAGCCATATTCAAATCCCCAAGGAGAAGAAGGAAGAGAAGCTTCTGCCAGGCAGTGGATGCTTTTGCCAGGATACCCGCCTGGTAGCCCAACAGAACCCTCTGGCCTGCACCAGCTGTCCCTTCCCCCTAAAAGAGGGATGTCCATCTCCTGGAATCATAACCATAATTAATGAGGAATCAATAAGTGGTTATACAGTACTATGAAGGTCATTAGTACAAGTGCTCAGCTAGTCAATGTTAGTGTTTGTTAAAAAGAGACTGGTAAGATAAATCCCAGGTCAAAAGAACTCTTACAACTAAGTTGGTTTCTACGCAAAAGGGAAAATTTTTTAATCAATCCATTAGTAACTGTACTTCTAATTGTGTTGTCTTCTTTTTCAGCATGTCATTCTCTCAACATGCCTCTTCAATCACAATATCCCAGCATACAATTTTCATCAAAAGAGGAGGAAATTGACAACTATGTAGCTTTACCTCCTAAGCATTCATACTCCAACAATTCTGAAATATACAAGTATAAATGAAAAACAACTAACTCAATCAATAGTCAAGGGAAGATGGCAGTTTAGGTTAAGAAACAAACACTCTACTTGTGTGTAAAGAACACTCAAGGTTTAAACTACACATATTAAAGCCACCACCACCACTCACCCAGCCAGCTACACACACACACACACACACACACACACACTCCCTCTCTCTCTCTCTCTCACTTTCTTATCTCCCTTCCTGCTCACTGTGATTTTAAGAGGTAGCTGTTTATTTGTTAATACTTTTCAGAAGCTCTTCATTCTTCTCTTTTATTTTTTGCTTATTAAGAACTTCCGTTGCCCATTCTATCTAGGAATTATTCCATCCTATGGAGGGAAGTGGCTGCTTACCTAAAGGTAATATGTTTCTGGTAGTTTAAATCCACCATTGACTCCATGGAAGGAAAATGAGCAATCTCATTCTGTGCAACTTAGAAAGCCTCCAAAAAACCAACTAGACCATCAGCTATGAGAATACGCCAAGTCAAAGGAAATGAGTTTGAGCTTTGAGATGTAGAAATAATAGCAGCCCACTGTTTCTTAGGGGTTGACTCATTCAAGACTTTTGCAAAGATAGATAAAAAAACCTAACCAAAAAAAACCCCACAACCCTAACCCACTGCCATCCAATCAATTCTGTCTAATCAGACTCATACAGATCTGAAGGAGAGCTCTGGTGACCCAGGTGGTAAGGACCTGTGCTGTCAACACAAAGGTCCAAATGTGGTTTGAATCCACCAGTTGCCTTTGTGGGAGAACAAGAGACACTATTTTAGAGGCAGTGATTTACTGCCTCTAAAAAACCCAAGAGGGTCACCTAGGAGTTGGTTCTGATTTGATGGTACACAACAACAACACAGGCCTGAAAGCAAAGAGTCAAAATGCCCCATATGGTTTCTAAGACTCTAGATCTTCAAGGAAGCAGACCTCCAGCCCTTTCTCCAGCAGAGTGGCTGCTGAGTTCAAACTGCCAACTGTTCAGTTAGTCTCTGAACACTTTAAGCACTGTGCCACTGGGGCTCCTAAAACAGGACCTCACAAGCCAGACGACTTT